GGCGCCGAGCCTATTTTATTTTTTTGAGACAGAGCCTCTAGCTGTCGCCCTGGGTGGAGTGCAGTGGCATCTCAGCTCACAGCAACCCCCAACTCCTGGGCTTAAGCGATTCTCCTGCCTTCGCCTCCCAAGTAGCTGGGACTACAGGCGCCCGCCCCAACGCCCGGCTATTTTTTGGTTGCAGCCGTCATTGTTGTTTGGCGTGTCCGGGCTGGGTTCAAACCCTCCAGCTCAGGTGTATGTGGCTGGCGCCTAAGCCACTTGAGCCACAGGCGCTGAGCCTATCTGTGCTTTTTTTGGTGAGAAAGCGAGCTTCGCAGCCCCTCTGATTACAGTATTGAGAAAGTCTCAGCTAGTTGCTGGGTGGTCTCTAACACTTGCTAATTTTGGATGATGGTTTTCCAACTCTGATAGTGCTATAAGGTTTCCTTTGAAAATTTTAGTGAAAAGAGTGAATTTTGAGAATTTTAAATAGCCAACTGATTCTTACATCGGGCAAAAAACTATTACAGTATAGGTGTATGGGAATGATGGAAATCTGAGAAGCATTGTTTTAGTAGATTTTCATGTCAGCTGAGAAAGATAGACTGGCCTGAATGGAGACAAACCTTATTTTTTTTTTTTGAGATAGAACCTCAAGCTGTTGCCCTGGGTGCCGTGGCATCATAGCTCACACAACCTCAAACTCTTGGGCTTAAGTGATTCTCTTGCCTCAGCCTCCCGAGTAGCGGGGACTATGGGTGCCTGCCACAACTCCCGGCTATTTTTTGGTTGTAGTTGTCGTTGTTTGGCAGGCCCGGGCTGGATTCAAACCCTCCAGCTATGGTGTATGAGGCTGGCACCCTAGCTCCTGACCTCAGGTGCTGAGCCAGACAAACCTGTTTTTTAAGGGTAATTATTAAAAATAGTCTGCGCATGCAACCATTTCATATAACTACTTCACTTTTTTTTTTTTTTTTAATTTAAGAGACAGGGTCTCAGTCTGTTGCCCAGGCTGGAGTGCAGTGTTGTTATCACAGTTCACTATAACTTGCACGTGGGCAATCCGCTGGGCCTCCCAGCAGCTGGGACTACAGGCCCACTACCTTGCTGAGGTAATTTTTTAATTCATTTTTTGTAGAGACAGTATCTGACTATTTTGCCGTGGCTGATCTCCAACATCTGGCTCAAATGATCCTCCCAAAGCTCTAGGATTGCAGGTGTGAGCCACTGTGCCCAGTCCCTCCTGGACTTTTATGACTCCTCCTGGGCTTTTATTCACATTAAAAGTGAAGCAGATACTTTAGTAAATAGAACTTTGTTTTATAGATGTTCCCATTGTTCAAGAGAAGGGCAAAGAGCTTTATTTTCATTGCAGATTCCTTATTGTATTTTTATCTTTTACTCATTGTTGAGTATCTACTATACATGTGCCAAGAAATGGGCATGAGGGAGGTCTCGTGTGGTAGTTCATGCCTGTAATCCTCGCACTCTGGCCCAGGCTGAGGAGAGTGGACTGCTTGAGCTCAGGAGATTGAGACCAGCCTGAACAAGAGTCCCATTTCTACTAAAAAAAAAAAAAAAGACAAAATTAGCCCATGTTGTGGCAGGTGCCTGTAGGGCCCTCTACTCAGGAGGCTGAGGCAAGAGGATCACTTCAGCCCAAGAGTTTAAAGTTGCTGTGAGCTATGAAGACTCCATGGCACCCTAGCTTGGGTGACAAAATGAGACTCTGTCTCAAAAAAAAAAAAAAAGTGTTAAGCTGTCAACTTCCCCCATTCTAGATAGCACACCATAGTCTGCAAAGATTTTGAAATTATTCCTTGATCTCATATCAGACCTAGTAAATTGCTAACTAGTGGCCTTGGGACCTACATTTTAGGCACATTCCAGCTGATACAGGTAGCCTGTGGACTACATTTTTTTTCCTTTTTTTTTTTTTTTTTGAAGTTTTTGGCTAGGGCTGGGTTTGAACCCACCACCTCCAGCATATGGGGCCAGCGCCCTACCCCTTTGAGCCACAGGTGCCGCCCAGGGACTACATTTTGAAAAGACCATAGAAAAACATTACTACTTTCTCTCTTATTTATTTATTTTTATTTTTATTTTTTGAGAAGTCTTACTTTGTTGCCCTCGATAGAGTGCTGTGGCATCATAGCTTACAGCAACCTCAAACTCTTAGGCTCAAGTGATTCTCTTGTCTCAGCCTCCTGTGTAGCTGGGACCACAGGCACCCACGACAACACCAAACTATTTTTAGAGATGGGGGTCTCACTCTTGCTTAGGTTAGTCTCGAACCTGTGAGTTCAGCCAATCCACCCGCCTCAGCCTCCCAGAGTGCTAGGATTATAGGTGTAAGCCATTGTACCTGGCCCAACCTCAAACTTTTGGGCTGAGGTGATCCTCTTATTTCAGCTTCCTGAGTAGCTAGGACTACAGGTGCCCACTACAATGCCCAGCTGGTTTTTCTGTTTTTAGTAGAGATGGCTGGTCTTGACTTCCTGAGCTCAAGAAATCCGCCCATCTCAGCCTCCCAGAGTGCTAGGATTACAGACATAAGCCACTTCACCCAGCAAAGAAAATTATTTTAATGGTAAAAAGCCATCCATCTTGCCAGGGATGACATTGTTTATGGAAGGGCTGCATGAAGAAACCTCTTGAGTGCCTTTTTTTTTTT